CCCCCCCACCCCTTCCTTTTCACACTCACACATTCTGTCCGTTTGGAGCAGAATAGGAATCAAACTCAAGGAATGTTGATTTTGCTGCTGCATATGACAGGGCTGGGCAGTCTTGAGGGATTCCTCTGGCATTCGCGTCTCACCAGCATCCCCCTTTTTCTTCCCTCCACTCCCGCCCCCGCCCCCAGCGTTGCGAAAAAAAAAAACAAAACAAACCCATCCACGAAGTGTAAATCAGCTCCCCACCACCACTGCAGCTCTGAATTTCGGGACAGCTTCAAGAGAGTAGAGAGGGAACGAAGAGCCTGTTCTTCTAATTATTAGTCGTGAGCTATTAGAAGTGATGAGGACTTTGCAAAGAGGGAGCGTCGAATCGAAAGAGAAGGCGCAGGCTGAACTGTTTTGATCCCCAGACCGCTGGGATTTACCGCTGGTTGCAAGTCTGTACAGACACGCACACAAACGCACACACCCGCACTCTGAGCTAGGGACTCCGACACAAGCTTGGGCGCTCCAATCTCCGAGCCTCAACCTCGGCACAGCTGGGCCGCTCCCTTGGGGCTCTGGTCTGCCACCCAGACATTGGAGTTTGTGGACCCCCATCCCAGTTCCCCTCTCTGGCTCTGGGGCAGCCAGACGCTGACTGTCAGAAGGGCAACGCACTTACCTCTTGCTGCCGCCGCCAGGAGGGCAAGACAAATGGCTAGACTTACCCATGGAATCAGGAAGGGACATGTCGCTGGACCGCTGCTGAGTCAGGGACTGATGCATGGTGAAAGCTGACCAGTTGCTCTGGTCTCCAGTCCCCGAAGCTGCTTCAAGCGCCCTCCGCTCAGGGCGCCCAGTAGAGCATCCTACTCCACAGCTGCCTCTTCTGGTCCCTCCAAGAGCAGAGTGAGACTGCCTCCGGTTGAGAGCTGCAGCCCAAGTGCCGCCTCCCCCTCCCTTCCCCTCCTCTCCCTCCCTCCTCTTCTGCCTCCCTCTGCTCTGGGAGGCGGCAGCATTGGCGGTCCTTGAAGCAGCGTGCGCTTGCGCAAGACCCCCCTCCCTCCCCCTCGGCCTCCCCATCCTAGTTATCCACCTCCCAGCCTCTTAAGCCAGACAGGGAGCCGTTTAGCCCCTTGGGGCCAAAGCTGCGCAGAGAAAAAGGGAGGCTTCAGACTGAGGCCAACTGGCCTTCTGTGTAGTTAAGAGAGAGGGTCTTGGACAAACACCCTGTTACAGGATTAGTGATTGAGGAGGGGGACAGAGTAAGAGGTTCAGACCCAAGGAGAAAACACACACACACACACACACACACACACACACGCACACTTGTGCAGGTCTGATTTTCCAGCTTCCAGAATGACATAATGGATCTGGAGATGATCCAGAGAAGGGCCACTCTATAATCAAAAGGATGTGGGGGGGGCTGCCTTATGAAGATGGATTAAGCAAATGTAGACTCTTTAGTCTAGAATGATGAAGGCTGAGAAGGGATGTGACCAGAGTGTATAAAATTATGCAGAGTTAGAGACAGAGAACACAGCCTTATTCACAACATCTGAGAATTCTAGAACCAACAGCCCCCTAAGAGCTAGAAGGCAACTCAGCTAAAGCAAATATGACTCTATATCAACACTCCAATTTGTATTTTTCTTCAAGGTGTTTTTTATCTCAAGAAAGGCTTTTGTATTATAGCAGCTATGCAAGGGAGGAACAGGAGTTATCCATAACCCCATTTTATAGATGAAGAAGCTGAATAGCAGGTGAAAATTTCCTGTGACTATGCAGCTGTTAAGTGGCAGAGGTAAGATTCAAACCTAGTCTGTTGAACTCCAAAGTCAGTGCTCTTCTTACTATGGGAGCTGCCTCAATGTCCCTGTTCCCACAACCCAATCCATGTTAAGTATAAAATTCTCCTGTAGGGCTGGGGAGATAGGTTGATGAGGAATGTGCTAGGTGTGCAAGCATGAGGACTGAGTTCAATCCCCCAGAACTAACTTTAAAAGCTAGGTGCCGCAATGCTTGCTTGTAATCCCAGCCCCAGGAAATATTGGGGCTTGCTCCAGGTCCAGTGAGAAATACTGTTTCAAAATATAATGTGGAGAGCAATTAAGACACTGGACATCAACCTCTGGCCTCCACACATACAAGCACACGTGTACACACACACGCACACACACACACACACACACACACACACATTCTTCTGAGAATGAATGGAATGAAAGAGGGTACTTGGTTCTTTCCAGGCCTGTTTTTACTAATCTATTGTGAGAGATTGTTTCCTTACCCAGGAAATGGAACCAAAGGCCTTGCCCTTTCTCACCTTCCAAAGGAGGAAAATATTCTTCCTGAAGGTTAAAAAAAAGAAGTCTTTTGTAAAGAACTTGAGCACCCCAGGGGCCAGGTTGAATGCTGTGTCAAATATTATTAGCAGCCTTACACTATAGATGTGGTTTTAAAGATCTGTGGCACATGTCCTAGATAGAGACAAGATGCCCACTCTCATAGAGAAGTGTGTCTTAATCATGCTTGGCATGTGGGTCCCTTTCCATAAGCTCCATAAGAGGCAGAGAGAAAACCTGTATTTATAGTGTTGCAATGATTGACTTTCACTCCTGTTTACTTATCCCTTCTCCTCCCACTCTAAATATCTTGTATTTAATGTGAAGAACTCCTGCAACCAGCACTGATTTCTCAGGAGTGCTTCATAATTAGCTTATTTGGCTTCTGTGAAAGTAGCCTTGAAAAAAAGTTTTATGCAGTCTAGAAAAGACTGTTTACTATACTCTTTAGAGATGCTTGGCTCTCCCATAGAAAGCGTACAGCTAGAAAGCCTTGAAAATGCCAAATACAAACTTGGTACTGTACCATTCTACTGAAGTGGACAAAATGAGGCTTTCACTTTAGAGAGAAACACACACGCTGGGTCTTGGCCTGCGCCTTTAATCCCAGTCTTCAGGAGGCAGAGGCAGGTGGATCTCTATGAGAGATAGAGGCCAGCCTGGTCCACATAGTGACTTCAAGGTGGGCTGGGGTTTAGGGAGATCCTGCCAAAAAAACAAATAGCAAAAAAAGAAAAAGAAAAGGAAGGAAGGAAGGAAGGAAGGAAGGAAGGAAGGAAGGAAGGAGGACACTATATATCAAATGTTGCAGAGGGTATACATAATTGGACCTTTACAGCCAGAACCACAAAAGAGGGAGAAACGCAGAATGGGGAGGGGGGGCTTGGAGGAGGAAGCCTTGCCTTCTGTAGCATCTGTATTCATGAATTGTGTGAAAATTGAACCTTATTTTAAAAAGAACTAGAGGAGCTAGCTGTTTAAAAGACCCAAGGACTCAATATTTCTTTTGTATTGTCTCTTGGGGGGCCTTATGGGACTTGGAACACAGCAGGCACTCAGTCAAGTTAAAAATGACTTTGAGACCAGTAGCAGTGACAATAGCAGCAGCTGTGGCAGTTTATAGAGGAGTAGCAGTCTTCTCCCCAGAGATGGTAAACTTGTTTGGATCTGGGAAAAGGGGAGGGGTTAGATGAGAACTAGGAAGGAAGAAAATAATCCTTCAACCAAGCCTGGTACCTAAACCTCTTTCTCATCAAAAGAAAGTTTATTTTAACTCAGAATAAGCTGGGTAATTTAAAAGCAAAGGGCAATTTTTCATGGAGTCCATCCTGATTTTCTTCATGTCAAAACACACGCAGATTTTATGCATAAATAGACAGATAATGAAATTTACCAACAGGCAAGCCACCTAGTTGAAGGAACAGGTTTTTCATGCAAATGAAGGCTACTATAAAATTGCTTGGTTAGCTCCTGATAAAAAGAATTTATTAAAATGGTTTAAAATAAATCCTTTTCATTGCAAGCTTAATCAAGCATACAGTGCTGCCCTCGGTTTCAAACTATTTTACAGAATCAGGAAACTTTGCCAATGGGGCTGCAGCCTAATTCTCTCTGTAGTCTTAAAGCCAATACTGAAGACTCTTCCCAGAAGCCTTCAGATGACTAGAAAAATGCCAGATGGTGCTCTATCTCTAACACATTCACCTTGGGAATACTGACAATTACCTCCTTATTTTAAGGATCAGTTTGACTTAGTTAAATTACTATAGTACCTTCCAGATTTTAAATATGGGATTGTGGACTAGAAAGATTGTGTCTATACATATACATAAACACACAAATGTATATTTTAAATGGTGGGCATACACATGCACATCAAATACATACACATATATAAATATGTATGCATACATGCATATCTGTATGCCTATCCAAACCATTTTCTCTATACACTGAATACTGCTACTTACTTCTCAACTTCCAGACTTAAGTTGAACTTCAGAATAACAGAGAACATCAAGGAGTCCACACATTCCTAATCGAGGTTAGAGTTGTGCCTACCAGAATACCTTATGTCAATGCCTAGTACTCAGTGTCTGTACCACAAAATGAGCCTTTACTGAGGAGAACCACAGTTGAAGGTTTTATTTCACCCATGAAACTTGAGTGGCTCCCATTGTCAGCTGGTCATTTTGGGGGGTACCAGGAAAAGAACCATAGCACCAGGGAATAATACTGGTACTTGTCTTTGCTTTACTATTGCTTACTATTTTATCATATTTTTTGGTTATCAAACATTTTTCCTATAGCAGTAAGCAATTTATCATAATGTGATTTTTTTTTTGGTCTTTTTGAGACAGTGTCTCTCTGTAGCCCCAGCTGTCCTGGAACTCACTATGTAGACCAGGCTGGCCTTGAACTCACAGAGATCCACCTGCCTCTGCCTCCCGAGTGCTGAGATTAGAGGCATGTGCCACCACGCCTGGCCATAATATGATTTTTAAGTGGGTGGGCCATCATTTACTTAGCACTTCACTGCTATTGGATATTTTGGAGGTTTCCAATTTTCAACATTGCAAATAACATAATGAACTAAATCTTTGCATCTTTCTTTTTTAACCACATGCTATGATACTCCAGTTAAATTATTAATTCAAAAGTTCTAAATTGTGTATTGTTAAATGAGTTTTAGCCTCATTCATAAAGTATACATGCTGATAAATTCTCATGCACACACCATAACTACCACCTAGATGATGATATTGAAACTTTTCAACATAGATGCCCCTTCTCAGTTACCCTCCAAGAAGTTATCATTATTCTGATATCATCAAGTCCAAGTATTGTACTTTTTTTTTTTTTGGTCGTTTTGAGACAGGGTCTCCCTGTAGCCCCAGCTGTCCTGGAACTCACTATGTAGACCAGGCTGGCCTTGAACTCACAGAGATTTGCCTGCCTCTGCATCCCCAGTGCTGGGATTAAAGGCGTGCCCCACCACACCCAGCAAGCCCAAGTATTTTTAAGGCTTTGAATATGTATGGTCAAATTGTCCTTCAAAATATTTGCAGCAAAATACATTCTACTATCATCACGTGAATGGGCCCAGGTCCCCCCTATATCTTCTGGGTTTCCCCTAGAAAAGAAGATATTCAGCTGAAGACACACCTAGATACAGTCAATGTTCAGCGAGGGCCAAGAAGCCAGATTGAACTTCAGCTATGCAAATGGTATCCAGTAAGAAACACAGTTCTAGGATCCAGAGGCTGAGGGCAGTACCCACAGGCAGACAGCATTATCACAGCCCACAAGAACCTTAAAATTTTACAACTACTCATATTTCCATTGTTGTATTCTTTATTGCTCTCCATTTCACATGTCTAGCCTTCTTTATATTCAGCTTTCAATCGTTCTATAATGATCACTTAGTTATGTCTGATGCAGAGCTGGCATTTAAATACTTGTTGAATATATAGCACTTTGTATTTACTGATTTATTTTCTTGCATAGTGAAATAAATCATGACATTGTAAAAATTTCAAAAACTGCTGAGCTACATGATGCAGCAGGTTACCAGCCCTCCACAATTATGTTATATAGAGATAACAAACATTTTACAGGTTGTTAGCCAGGCATGGTGGTGCAAGCCTTTAATCCCAGCACTCTGGAGGC